GAGTAATTGTAATTTTTGCAGTGAATAATCTTTGTTATCTTTCTATATTAAATAAAAAAAAAAGATGTAAGATTTCAGAAGTACGGGATAATGGAAATAAAAAAAACAACGGTTTTTTTGATACGTAGCAATTTTACCCAAAATTCGTCAAAGGTCTGTGCAAACCGCTATGTTTATTGCCTTGCTATCAACGTTATAAGTCAAAATCTTGAAAAATCGGGGTTAAACACAAAATCGGTAATAAAAATTCTTGAATTCTCAAGCAACACTGTATATATTTACATCCTACACTTAGAATTATGTCTACACAATATAACTAATACTCTTAGCTAGCACGTAAATGACCAATATTAAAATTCAATCAAATGTCTTAAAACTATAGTAACAATTAAATAGCATACAACGGTAGATATGACCTAGAATTTGAATTCATAAACAACTATCTATACGTCGATAAATAAATCTCAGAATGTTCGATAAATATTCGTGGATATGAAAAATATCTTTTCCAAATAGATATTTGCATAAGCTCTATAACAATCATTCATTCAACAATTTATTATGATCTCAATCCATTCTTATATCTATATGTGCAGCGTATACTTAATATTAGTCTGATTCATTTCCATCATTCTTTGGTTTTCTCTTCACCATAAAAATCTGTCCATCTTGATGGTAAACAATAATTTCAAGAAATCTATAAACCTATAAAGTAGAAAACTAATGTCTGTGATCTTCTTTTACACTTTCCAATTTATAAAACGGATAAATCACGAAAAAGATGAAAAAATGAAAAAAAAGGGTGCAAAGAAAAAAATTAGTTTGTATGTAAATGGTTACCTGCTCTATGCTGTCGAACTTTATAGGCTTGGGCAACTTAGAATCCAAGTTGTAAATCTCTGGACTTCCATCCTCATCATTAAAAAAAGGTTTAACGGCGATCCAGTGATTAGATGTCCAGAAATAGAGACGAGATGTTTGAGTGTTTAGAATGATTCCAAAAAGAGTTGGATCCGTGAATTGGATGACCGTTCGAATGTCTACGTATACAAATTATTTAGGTTAATATTACAATTGTTTATTAATGATAATTAATGATAATCCCTTTAACAAAGGTATAATACCTCTTCGCGCATCAAACCATTGAATTTCCAAATCAAATTGTTTTAGAGCTGCTTCTAAAACATTAATATCATAATTACCAACACCACTATTAATCAATCATAGTTATTGTTAGAAAATGATATTTTATTTGCTATACCTTAATACAAAAGATGACACTCACAAAACACTTTTGTGTGGATTAATGTAGAGAAAATTCAACTTTTTAATACTTGAATCTGTTTTTTTGGACAGATTTAAGGCGATATCGTCAAGTTGTTCTTTGGAAAATGCTTTATTTTGAAGCTTGATGATATAAGGAAAGTGATAAACGTTTTGAATAACAGGTCGAAAACTAGAAATTATAATATATATCAATAGCGATAGTGTTCAACTCACTAAATTATTCAATGTGTGCTTTTGTTTCAATGATAATATAATACGCAATTAATTATCGTTCGTTATATAGAGGTGTAAAGTAAAATCATGTAACGATTAAGTTGCTTTTTATAAACATCAAACTAACTTGACCGCAAAACCATAACTTTTGCCTCTCATGATATATTTCTTTCGTTGGATAAGTTTCTTCCATAAAAAATGACTTGTGAGTTGTACTCGAAGGTATGTACCTAGTACGTACGTACGTATGTTATGCGTGTACGTACGTGCAAATCAAATCTATATACTGTAACATGAGTAGATCACGTTATTGTTATCTATATTTTTCACAACTGTGTTACAATGTAACAGAAATATTTACTTTTTAATTTATCTTAATGGCGATTTTTTAAGGGTTTTAAAAATGAGATCCCTATTTCAGTTTGATCTTCCCCATTGATATATTTTTTTTAATAGTTAAGGTGAATTTTCACCATTGGTTTTTTCCCCTTACCCTCGTTTTCGTTTTTATTGTTAAATATTTAGTATACAGTGATGGGTCAAAACAAATCTCGGCTTAGTAGCTTTAAGAAAAGGCGCCTGTCTAGTAAATCCAATGATGAGAAATATAATAAATATAATGATTTCGTTAAAACTAACGAACAGATATGGAAAAGTTATATAAATACTTACACTGATGAATTGAATGGAGGTGCTGACTTGAACGAAGAAGCTCTCCAAAAATATTCGTAAATATTATTAAAATTAGAATTACTGACTAGTAATCATTTGAGAAATTCAAGCATATACTTTTATTATTACTGTTGCTAGGGATAAGTTTAATTCTGATCCAAAGAATAGATTAGCTTTGAGTGCTATTTGCAATGATGATATGGCTAAAGTTTTATTGAATCGAGATGTATAATATTTTCCACGTAATTTATGATTTACCATAATGATAAAGGATTATGCTTTAAATTATTAACTTTCTTTATTTTCTATACAATAGGCCGCCATTAAAGATGTCCATGTCTTTTCTGAGAAAATTCAATTAGAAGGGAAGGCGACTAATCAAAAATCTTCTGGCCGTTGTTGGCTATTTGCTGCTACCAATGTGCTACGTTTGCCAGTTATGAAAAAGTAGGTTCAACCTTTATAATAATACCTGATGTTTCAATTTATCATTAGTTAATTAAAAATTATTAGATACAAGTTAGAAGATTTTGAATTATCTCAGTCATATTTGTTCTTTTATGACAAGCTTGAAAAAGCGAACTGTAAGTAATTTTGTGACGGCTGAAGCTGAAACTGAAATTTTTGACCTATTTTGTTATTTTTATATCACATTTCCTATTCAAAAAAGATTAATATCTTTTCTCAAAGTTTTCCTCGAGAACATGATCACGCTCGTGGATGAAGATGTTGACTCACGTTTAATTCAATATTTGTTTGGTGCACCGGTTAACGATGGTGGCCAATGGGACATGGTAATCAATTTGTTGGAAAAATACGGGGTGGTTCCCAAATGTGTAGGTACAAAATCTGAAGGATTTGTTTTTAGAATTATTTTACCACAGGCAATATTAATTATATGAAATTATAGGTATACCCTGAATGTTATAATTCATCAAATACATCTAAACTCAATTGGGTTGTTACGACTAAGCTTCGTGAATTCGCTTATCAATTGAGAGAAATGCATGCATCTGGAAAAAGCAATGAAATGTTACGACATGCCAAAGTTCAAATGATGGAAGAGGTTTATCGCATTATGGCAATTTCTCTTGGTGAACCTCCTAAGGTGTTTGATTGGACTTTTAGGGACAAAGATGGAAAATATTATGAATTCTTTGGATTGACTCCGAAACAATTTTATAAAGAAATCGTCAACTATAAGGTAGAAATCCATTATTTAATAAAATACTCAATATTACTCATTATTCTAAATTTATTTTTATTTTTTTTTATTGTCATTGAACAGGCAACGGAAACTTTCTCTCTTGTGAATGATCCTCGTCATCCATACCTAAGTCTTTATACAATTGAATATCTTGGTAACATCCAAGGGGGCATACCAATCCGCTATGTAAACATTCCGGTCGAAACCATGAAAAACCTAACGATCCAAACTCTACGATCCGGTAAACCAGTTTGGTTCGGTGCTGATGTTGGAAAGGCTAGCGATTCTTCGTTAGGAATTTTGGATAATAGACTCATTGATTATGAATTAGGTTTTAATATTAAATTTTGTATGACAAAAGCACAGAGGTTGCAATATGCGCAAAGTTCAATGACACATGCTATGGTTTTTACTGGTAATTTTTTTTTTTTTTTTTTTTTTTTTTTAGGGGTCTCAATTTTTTTAAATTATACATGTCGATCATTTATTACTTTAACAGGTGTTCATCTTGAAAATGACAAGCCTATTCGTTGGCGTGTTGAAAATAGTTGGGGAGATGAACGAGGAGAGAAAGGATATTTCGTGATGGCAGATGGATGGTTTGATGATTGGGTTTATCAAATTGTTTTAGAGAAGAAAGACGCACCTAATGAATTAGTCGAAGTTTTGAATCAAAAACCTCGAATTTTGCCTGCTTGGGATCCAATGGGTTCTCTAGCTGTTTAGGCTTTAAATTTTCTCCTTTTTTTTTATATATAAAGAAAAAAAAATAAACCATCACAAATTTTATGTCTTGGCTTTCATAACTCATAATATTACCGTATAGCAGTGCTTATAGTACCCGGGTATATTATTCTTCAGTGGTTTGCATCCGGGTCTTAATCATGGGGGCATATTATGGGGATACTATAAGCAGTGCTAACGGTAATTGTTCATGGCCTTGTGGAGTTTACATAGAAACGTACAATAGTAAATTACTCTATGCGGACCTTTGATAAATTATGATATTTTTTATACGTTCAAATAAATGATAATGACCAATAACACTGTTTTCAGCAATAATTTATCATCTGTAAGTTGCCAATATTAAATAGTTTTTTACTACGTAATGAGCACAGCATACGAATTCATATAAATAATAGGTGGTTACATTTGTCTATTAACATTATTCACTTGTTAACTTCAGATAATCCTGTCATAGAGGAAGATAATCCTGTCATAGAGGAAGACAGTAACCACCACCCTGATGACCATCTTGATGACTATGAATCATGTTAATAGTCACGATGTTGGGCTTTTTTCTAGAAGTAATTTAAGTTCAAAAATAATGACAATAATTATCGCTGTTTTCGAAATGGTTGAAAATGACAAATAATTATCGCTGTTTTCGAAATGGTTGAAAATGACAAATAATTTTTTTTTTTTAGCGTACACTCGTATGCTCGATTACCTTAGCACGTTGATTTAAGATCGATGCCCGATTTATATAGTTGACCCTCGTTAGTATCAACCAGAGCCAGTGGATTTTAGTAGCATCTAAAATAGCGCTATTTTTTAACAAAATAGCTAGCAACATTGTTTGTGCTAAGATGCTAAATTTGCTGCTTCTGTATTAAACATGTGACGATTACTTTTGTTCTTAAACTGATTTGTATAAGCAAATAATTATATGCATATTCTTAACTGATGACTAGAGAACTTAATGGAATGATATCTTAAGAACTCATTGAAGAACATACGACTACATTAAAATTTAGATTGATAAACATAAATGTTTTAATAAGTTATTTTGTTAGCTAGTTTTGCTTCTAACGACCACTGGCTCTGGTATCAACCAATTTGGATCTTTATATTCATGTTGATAGTGATATTAATAAGAGTTTATATTAAAGTTGATATATATGCTGGAATTTTGATATATAAAAATTTATAAAAAGTTGTGGCTTAGGTTGATATTAACGCGGGTTGATATTAATGAGGGTCAACTGTATACGGAACAATTACACATCGATCTTCAACATGCTAAGGTGGGGAGATTGTGTATTTTGATTGGTTAACTATCATGGGAAATCATGGGTAAACCTATAATATCTATAATCAAACGAATGTCTGAATTAATGTTGCAGGTCGGAGTGTAAGTTCTGCTTGTGGGGATATTGGTATAAAGATGGTGGTATTATTCATACACTTGTAGAGCAGAGGTCTTTTTCGAAGTTTAACGGCTGCCCTACCTTGTTTAGTGCGTCGAAAGTGCGTCGAGTGTAACCCAGGTCCGCATAAGGAGAACTTCTCCCTGCATTACGAATACAAAGTAAAAGCTCCAATTATATTATATAATTGGAAATTCTACTTAGTCTTCGTAACGCAGGGAGAAGCTCTCCTTATGCGAACCTGGGTTACACTCGATGCACTAAACAAGGTAGGGCAGCTGTTAAAAATCGAAAAAGACCTCTGCTCACTTGTAGTGCGTCAGATGCATGCTCGTTCAAGTTTTGCAAGGATCATTTATGCACAGTTACTTGCCAACTTTTCAGAGCATGGTTTTATCTTTGCACTATCGTGTATATAATACTTTATAGTTTAAGCTTTGATCCTTTATTCAATATATGCGTTATTGAATTCAAATGAAGGAAGGTGAAAATTGGAGATATTTATACTAGTATTTTAGGCATTCCAGTCAGGGATTTTCAAATTCGTGTAACGCAGATCATTTCTCTTTTTGATAAACAATCTTCAAAATTCTTTTTTTTAATTCTATGGTACGAAATTTGTACCAATCATAGGCTGTGTTATTAAACCGTAGACTACATTATATTGAAATACCTGACTGCATTCCTATCCATTATCCGTTTATCCATTTATCTATTGGATATCCATATGGATAAATGGATAAATGGATGACGGATTTATCCGGATTGGAACTCTAAACTTGGTAATTATAAATTGTTCTTGATTTGGTGATTAAGGGTAGAGTGTACGTAGAATATTTTTCATATGATCTCGATGGTCCATTTTTCTTATTTTTAATATTTTATTAACTTTTAAAGTTTTATTAAAATACCATGCCGATCATATGACAAAATGATCTACGTACACTCTACCCTTAACGGCGTGATCCCATGGTTTAATGGTGAAACTCTCTTACGAAGAAAAGAATACATTTAAACTCCTTATTCTAAGATAACAAGAAAAGAATCTCAGACCAGTTTATCTGCGGCCTAAACCAACATATGATTGGTTGTTTAAGTCAACTTAATTTTATATTATTTATACAGTTTAAAGTACTTTTTTCAAAAAAATAAAACTACAAAGAATAAATGAAAAAGAAGTACATAGAAGGTATTATTAGTATTGTAGGACTCCACTATTGAAAACGATCAAAATCCCTTTTTGTTTAGCGAAGTTAGTATTATAATAACTTTTTAAAAATAGATCGAACAAGATTATTACTAGATTATTACTATGATAACTTCTCTAAAATCCCTCCTATGTATTTTTTTTTCATTTATTCTTTGTAGTTTTATTTTTTTTGAAAAGTACTTAAATAATATAAAATTAAATTGACTTAAACAACCAATCATATGAAAGTCGACCTATGATTTCATAGCAGATGTGCCAATATTTGGCACGTAAATACCTCAAGAACCTGTTATTAGATTTAAATTGTTTATAACGAACATTTGGTAACAAATTATTTATTTTCTATTTTATTCATTATATCAAAGACCATTCATTATTGCTTCGATTAGAATCATCCAGGGCGACCATAAAAAGTGCGTAACGTGATTATGACGCAGCCACAGTATATATATTGCAGTATCGAATTACAATAACTGAATAACAATAACTATTTTACAATATGCAGTTGGAAAGAGCAAATAAGCGGCACTAATAGCCACGATCTATATTAGATACATGATCACGTTACTGCACTTTTTATGGTCGCCCTGGATGATTCCCTTCGATTAAGATCTTTAAACCTAGTTATTACCTTTATGTGCAACGGGTAAAAATAGACACGTTACACAATTTATAAAAGTCTTAAGTTATACATTTTAAAGTACTTTTTCACGAGGCTTGTGTAAGTTGTCACAATGAAACATGAATATTAGTTAATGTGCTAGTTAAAAGTTAATAAATTATATTTATGCTGCATAATTAAATAATTAATAACAATATATATATTTAGCTAACGTAAGCCAACTTTATTGAAATTGTGAACAATGAATTTTGGCATCTTGAGTTACAAAGGCCAATACGTAATACCGTAAAACGCCGTATAAGGTACCCCCCTTGATTTGTTCCCCCCTTGATTTGTACCGGATATGTTTCAAGGTTATTTGTTGTGGTGTTTTGTAAGAGACCCGGGTATAAATCAAGGATCGATTTAATAATGAAAAT